TAACATGGATAAATCCAAATTAAACTGGGGGCTAATGTCGGGGATATACCCCGCGGTGTAACCTGGCTGGATGTATGACCCAGATGGATCTTGGCGACTCACTGGTGACCCGCCCGGAGCTTGGCGAATAACGGGTAACCCGCCCGATCTTGGTGGCTCATTAGTAACCTGGCAGGTGTTTCAGATGGATGACAAGGCCTAGAAGACCGGCTCATGTTATGGTGGGCCGGCTTAAGAGGAAAGGCATAAGGAATATTCTCCTACAAAGGAAGCAAGACTAGGACTCCACTTGTAATAGAGTAATCCTAATCCTACTAGGACTAGTCATGTAACCCGCCCCCTCAACATATATAAGGAGGGGCAGGGCACCCCAAGAGGGAGAGGTTCCACAGATTTCACAAGTTAGGTTTAGACAGACAAGTCAATAGCTCTCGAAATAGAGCACCCCTATAATCGTGATCATCATCATCAATATCAATGAAGCAGGATGTAGGCTTTTACCTCCACCATGAGGGGCCGAACCTGGGTAAAACCTCGCGTCTCTCGATTCCGATCAACCCCTCTCAAGCTACCACATAGATGCGTTGGCCTCACAACTAAGTCCTCACACTAGGACATCTGCCGTGACAATTCCACGATAGCCGGCGTTCGTCGCCGATTCCGACTACCTCGCGCCCTCCCCGAGCTCACTACCACTCCCTACGGCTCTGCTGTGAGCTCCTGCCTGTCCTCCCCCTCTCTGTTAGCCCGCCCACGTTTCGTAGCCACCGATGCCACCGACGACCGAACACTCAGCCGCTCGCGCTCGTAGCCGGCATAGCCACGGTGACCTTTGGGTCCCGTGAGTGCCACTGTCACGATCATCGCGTCACGTAGAGGTCGTCTGGCAATTTATTTGCTCGCTAGCGCGCCCGCATCACCAATCGTCATTGCTCCCGAGCGCCGCCGTCCGCCGATGAGCTCGCCGTCGTCGCTACGGTGCTCCTCCGGCCACACCACTGTCGCAGATCGCCTCTCCGTCGCATGCTCTTTCCAACGCACCCACGCGCGACCCTCCCCATGCTCTGTGCGCGATTTCCAGTGATGTCTGCTGCGCGAAATGGTCGCCGGTGTTGCTCCGGCACCGGTGGGGCCTGCCTCTGGGTCGCTGCCCGTGGGCCCCCTGGACCCAGTTGACCACGTTGACCGTGGTCAACTTTGCTGACTGGGCACTCAGTGCCACTGACACGCACCCCCCGCATAATTAAACTAATTAAAACATTTTCCTAAATAAAAATAATTAGCTAAACTAATGAGTCACTGACACGTGGGGTCCAGTCACTAATTACTCTGTTTAAATTAAAATGAATTGCTGTTAGCCCACTACCAATGACAGGTGGGCCCCACTGGTCAGGTTTGACCTGGTTAGTGCGGCTACTGACTGTTGATGTCACTATGATGTCATCATGATGCAATATTCCTTTTCTGTTAATTTAAATAGTTTCTGAAAATGTTTAAATCTTTTAAAATTCGTAGAAAATAAACTGTAGCTCAGATTGAAAAACTTTATATATGAAAGTTGCTAAGAAAAATCCAACGAATCCGAATACACGGTCCGTTCATCTGTCACATGCCCCTAGAATGCTGAACATGGAACAATCCCCCTCCGGTCATCTGTCTGACACAGGTCCGGAACCGGGAAAACATTCCCGGTTGAATTCCCCCTTCACCTATATCGTGTAGCCATACGTTAGGTCACACTCGGCTCATCATATTGCCATGTTATGCTTTGTGATGCTTTGTTTGCTTTATATTTATTGTTTCTCCCCCATCTTCTCTCCGGTAGACCCCGAGGCCGATGATGCCCCGGTGATCGACCTCGTCGACGGCCCTTCTTTTGCAGCAAAGCTTCCAGGCAAGAAAACTCCCCATGAGCATTCCGATATCGCCCATTTCTTTCCCTCTCATGCTTGCATTAGAACTGCTACTACTTTTTGTATGATCCTATTCTGATGCATAGCCTGTTTTTGTTACCTGCTTTCATACCTTACCTGCTTATTCTAAACTGCTTAGTATAGGTTGGTTAGAGATCCATCAGTGACCCCCACCTTGTCTCAGTTGCCCCTGCTTTATGTTCGATGACTCGATCAACGTGATCGACGTCCAGGCCCCGACACCGCACATCAACCCCCTTAGTTGTACGACTCTGCAGAGTTACTATCGAGTGCCGAGGGTGATACCTCATCAGCACTTCTGATGTTAACCTTGTAGCGTAGCTATTCGATCGTGGCCATCAAGGATGATTCCTCCTTGACCACTCCCAATAATGACTCTGTCGTGCAACCCCTCAAGTGTGGACCAACGAGGGTGATTCCTCCAAGTCCACCTTGATGGTTACATCGAGTGGGAATCCATCGAGGGTGATTCCTCAGGTTTCCCCCTTGTTGTTTCAGACACACGATTACTTTGACTTACCACAGAGCCATGATGACATCGGGTTGGCCCCGAGGGGTACCCGCGAGTGATGTGAAGTCGGGTTGATCTGGAGGATACCCGCAAGTTTTTCACGCGGCGCGGCCGGGCATCCTTAGCCCTTGCCGCAAGTCCGTGAGATGGGGCGACATGACCACATATCGTGGATCATTGATCGTTAGCGCACTATCAAGACACTTACGGTTTGGATATTTGATCCGAGTAGGCCTCTGGCCTTTTTCGCACTAACCATCACGTGGGAATAAGTATGGGCACTCTGCGTCGTATGTATTAGCCGAAAACTCAACGGATGTCGGCGATAGAGCGGCGCGCACCGGGTTGGACTGGAACATCTTGCCTTGTATAAGGGAGGCTATGTCTGCTCACCGGCCGCGTACGCAACGTGCAGGATTGCAAAGGGCGATGGCCCATGACCCCTTCGCATTTAGGATGTAGACCGGCATGCTGGCCTCTCTGTTGAGCCTAGGTAGGACTGTGGTGTGTTGATCTGCTAAGGCCGGTCATGACTTGATGGTGTGTCCGGCCGGAGTTGATCGAGCGTGTTGGGTAAGTTGGTGCACCCCTGCAGGGAAGAAAACATCTACCGATAGCCTGTCCTACGGTAACGGACGCTCGTAGTTGTATCCCGATCGATACAACTAGAACTGGATACTGAATGCTGAGGCATGTAATGAATATGATGGCTTCGGGATTGCTTCCTCGCAGGGAGTCGGGGAAGTGATCTGTGGGCGCTAATGTTACAACATGTTTGCTAAATATATATTGCTATTCTATACTGTTCTGAATGCTACAGATGCTTGGAGCTGCTTGAAGATGCTAGTCTTCGATAGGCTAGGCTTTCTCCTTCTCTTCTGGCATTCTGCAGTTTAGTCCACAGATACAACCCTTTCCTTCGATATAGATGCATACTTAGTTTAGATCTGATGTAAGTCTTGTGAGTAATTTGGATGAGTACTCACGGTTGCTTTGCTACCTCTTTTCCCCCATACCCGATTGTTGCGACCAGATGACGGATCCCAGGAGTCAGACGACACCACTGATGAGTACTACTACCCGAGGGTGCCTACTATTACGTGACGGCCGCTGACGACCTGGAGTAGTTAGGAGGCTTTCAGGCTGGAGGCCTTGCCTTTTCGATCGTTGTTGCTTTTGTGATAGCCTTCTTAAGGCAGACTTGTTTAACTTATGTCTGTACTCAGATATTGTTGCTTCCGCTGACTCTTGTGTATTCGAGTTTATGTATTCGAGCCCTCGAGGCCCCTGGCTTGTAATATAAAGCTTGTATTATTTTAATTTGTGTCTAGAGTTGTGTTGTGATATGTTTCCGTGAGTCCTTGATCTTGATCGTACACATTTGCGTGTATGATTAGTGTACGATTAAATTGGGGGCATAGTGACTGCTACCACGGGACCTTGAAACTGGACCTAAGCAGTGTGTTCCAGGGTGGTGGCGACATAGAGGATGAGCGCGGTGGCCCTAAAGTCGGGTGCAGTCTGTGAATGAAGATATGTCAAATGACACTACATCTCTTGAAGCTATCCGATAAATGGAGAACGTAGGCTGTAGCCAAAACTGAAGTTAGTGACCTCAATTGCTGTCACATGAAGAAACTTAGAGCAGGAAAATGTATATGTAAGAATCAACTCGGGGTGGCAAACACTACCAGCAGGAAACATTTTAAGGGCTGGTTCGTTGCAGCAAGGTATGCAACATTATAATGCTAAGCTACTCACTTGGACAATGAGATCATGAATTCAACTCTTATGAAAATTGAAGGACTGGCAAATTCTTGTACAATCTCGACGCAGATACATTTGACAGGAGAGATGAAACAACTCTGAATCTGAAGAGCAATGGAAGTAGAAATCAGCAACTAGCTGTGGCCTGTAGCTTGTTCACCACCATCAGACAATCTGAAGCCAGAATCATCACTCGTCGATAGCCTTCCGACACAGCAAAATGCAGACCTTTGGTCAAAGCCGCTATTGCTTCAGCCAGTTCTTGGATGATGACCCCTTGAAGAGTCTGGACAAACTGAGCCAGGACATCACACTCCCACACCCATCATTTGATCATCAATGAAGTAGTAACCATCTTGGCACTAGTGATGATGGCTCACACCTAGAGGTAGACACCGGGGAAACAAGACGCTGTTGGATCATATCAATATAAGCCTCCTGATCTTATGCACAACCCTTTGCGGTACAGGACCGCCTTTGCTGTTCCGAGCCTCGTTGGGTGCGTCCCGTGGGAATTGATATGTAACAGCAGTAGCAGTGGATGTTTCTTCCTTTTGACTAGAGTTATTTTGACAGTAATTATATGCTTTGGATTATGCCGTAATGAATGATTTCTACTTATGCTGCTCCGTCTCTTACTGATGAGTGACTGGCCAACAAAATCTCATTGTATTACACACACACGCTCACAAGAACATCTACAGCTACGTACAGGCGTACAGCAAGAAGAAGAAATTGTGGGAGACAAGAGTACTTAAGCTTAACCGAGTTACCACCACAGCCTATGATCATCGTCCCCGGCGAGGAGGGCTCGGAGGAGGGGTGCCCCGGAAGGACTCCCAGAAGACGGGCCAGTTGCGGCGGGCCTCGTTCCAGCCGAGCAGGGAGCCCTCTCTGGCGGGATCCCAGCTGGCTGACACGATGCCGTAGCTCACGCCGGCCAGCGCCGCCCCGAAGAAGACGAAGGACAGCCCGTAGGGGATGAAGCTCGGCACGTCCACCTTCGCCACCTTCTTCAGGTAGTAGAACGCCGGGAAGAAGGCCAGCCCCAGCGCCAGCGGGATCCCCACCGACGCCCCCACCCGCCGCATCATCCGGTTCGTCACCACCTCCGGGATCGCCACGTCCCTCTCGTCCTCCTCCTCATCATCGTCCTCCTCGTCGTCTTCGTCTTCTTGGTCCGCCGGGAGCTGCTGCTGATCCTGCTTCTTGTCGCCGCGCCGCTTGCTCTTCTTCCCGGGCCGGCCGATGGTGATGACTTTGGGCTCCGCGGCGTCGCCCCTGGAGTTCTTGTTCCTGCGGGCGTGCAGAGGGCGCGCGCGGCTGTGGGGAGTGGCTGCCCCGTGGAGGCGGAAGATAGAAGTGGGGCTGCAGGGGAAGGCAGCGGCGGCATGCGCGCGCGGCGCAGAGAGCGGCAGCTCCATGGCGAGAGCTAGCCCCGTTCCGGGTCACTGGCAAGAGGACATCTTATCTCTAACACGCACGCGGGGACGGAGACGGACGGCCTAGAGCAGCCAGAAGCCGAAGTCCAGATTTTCAAAATGGAAAAATAGAGAAATATACCTTTACTTTATGTTCAGAGAAGGATTTTTTTAAGAAAATATACATTTTTAATAATTTTGTATTTTTTGTGGGGTATAATCTTGTATTTACTATAACCTATTTATCGAATCTAGTTTCAGTACCAAAAGAACCAAACCATCTAAGCTTGATCACCACATCTCGAAAATGCATAGATTATATCAAAGGTTCAACCCCTTCCCTCCTCCTCCACATCCCGGGTGAAAGCTCAAAATTCCTTGGATTGGACGGCGAGAGTGCTCCAACGGCATCATTTTTTTCTTGAAGAAGCTGCCCTAGGACTTTGGTTGGGTGGGCGAACCTTCGGTGTGGGTGGTCGATTGCCGGCGTATCTTTAGTGCTAATCATGTTCAGCGGCTTGAGGTCTCTGTCTTGGTCTTGGCTAGAGGCGACGTCGACGTCGGTGGTTTGTTTCGCAGGGTGAGGTGACCGTGCTTGTGGTCCGCTTTCTGGCACCGTGTTGGCCTTGTTCATACTTGCTCGAGGGTCAGCATTACTACCACCGACCGCGGCGTCCTTCAATCCCAAAGGTGCGAGGGTGGGGAGGCCTCTTCGGAGGTAGAGAGGTACGGGGGTGCCTAAATGGTTGGCCTCAAGGGAGTTGACGGAGTGAGGTCTTCCTTTGGCGGCGGGCGGCTCACCTGACTTAGTTTCTTCGATGGCTTGACCTCGGATTCGCCGAGGGCTCCAATGCTCAAGTGTTCTTGGTGCATTCAAATCATGTTAGCTGTTATTTAGCATCTTGTATCTTTTGATGTTTCTTTTCTTTTCCTTTTTTGATCGATTTATCAGCTTTATATATAAAGCGGGGTGGCAACCTTTTGCAGTACAAAAAATAAACAACATTTGAAGCGATTGATGGGTACAACAATATCACGCACGTCCCAACAATTTCAATATAAAGGGGACCAATAAAAGATGTAAAACATTGAGGGGGGCAAACATAAAAATTTAGAGCATTTTGAGCTAACAAATATGGGGTTGTTTGACAAGAAGTTCACCATGGGGCAGCCATGGCCCCAGCACCCCCATCCCTCCAGCTGTATTACTGCGTCCTAGTGCAGTCAACGAAAACATAGAAGAGAAACCTTAGAAACTAGGGGCAGGGAAATCAAATTGTTTGAAAAATTATAGTACACATTAGGCAATTTGAAAACATGTATTAACGCTAGGTAAGTTCTTGAATTCTACATAGTGAAAAAAATATATTCATTGAAATCAAATGAGATGATGATTTTCCATGGGCACTCACAAAGTGTTTTCTAGCTTTTTTAGATCGAAAAGGTTAATTGGTGGACGCATCAAAATCTGTAAGAAGTCCAAACGAATTCAAACTTGTCTGATGGTATCCTAAAGTCGCGATCATCCCATTGTCTACCGCGCGCTCGAGAAAGTCTGAATCCTTGTTGGCTCGCATTATGCACGCCCTTGTAACGTGTAGGCTGAGGGAAACAACCACAACACCCAACCTCCTTTGATGTTCACAAAAGAGAAACTAACTTCCTAGTGGAGGGAACTGACACACAACATAGTACTAGTGTACAAAAGTGATTTTTGTTGGTTCTTTTTCATGCGGGTTTCACATAATTTGGTGTACCCTGTAAACACTTCATCAATATTGAGGACAATGCTGATGATGGGTCAGTAAGGGCCTTTATAGGAAATGTAGTTGGAAAGGTAGGGTTGTCGGTCACAAAGAGGGTGTCGGGGCATCTCGATGTACAAACCTACCATATCATTGTAGTGCTTTAGCGTGACTTTTGCATGATGCCTCGAGGTTGAGTTGGATGCCAGCGATTCTCGCCAAATCCAACGGGTGTGGTATACCCAGCTGTTGTAACAATCATGTAGTTACGAAGTTGCATATGCTACAGGTATGAACATGCCAACCATTTCAGTTAAAGAACTACACCGCCCATGTTATAATTACCAACACAGTGATTAAGTAGTTATCAGGTTGCGCGTGCTAAAGTTATCAACATAGTAATTATATAGTTACCATACCACACTTGTTATAGTTACCAACACAATGAATATGTAGTTACCAGGCTGATCAGGCTAAAATTACTAACATAGTGATTTTGTAGTTATCAGAACGCTCATGCTATAGTTATCAGGTTATTCATGCTAAAGTTATGAGGCTACTCATGCTAAAGTCATCAGGCTTCTCATGTTATAATTACCACACCATATTGCTATATCAAGTTACTCATGCTGAAGTTACCACGCTTCTCTTATTAAAATTACTAGCCTGCTCATATTGAAGTTACCAAGCTGCCCATGCTATAATTATCAGCCTTCTCAGGCAATAATTACCATAATTACCAGGCTGCTCTTGCTATAGTTATCAACATAGCAATTATGTTGTTATCAGACTGCTCATGCTATAGTTGCCAACATGATGTGAATATATTTACCAGTTGCGCGTGCTACATTTATCGAGTGTGTTAGATCACATTCACCATTGTAGTAATCATGTAGTTACATGGTAGTTGCGGCGAGGTATAATTTTAGAATCAACTATCCACAAGTAGTTCGATAACCTACATAGTGTTCATGGGTAATAGAACATTAACATCTATGGGTAACTCTTGTAATACCACTTTCAACCTACAAAACATTGAAACCTTGCAAAAATTCCAACTTTTAGTGCCCAGTAATTTCAATGTAATCAACATGGTAACATATGTACATATCTAATAACTTACGTACCCCAAACATGGTAACTTTTGACCCCCAAAAAATTCATTGAAATATATCAATATGGGATCTAATTTTGAATGTCCTATACTTTTTTGCTAGGCTTGCAACAATGTTAGTATTATTTTTTTCTAGGCCTGTCGCAATCTTAGTACTTTGTTGCTAAATTTCATTCATAGTTTTCTATGGCATGGTGTTTATTAAGAGTTTCAGAGACAGAGAAACACATACATTGCTTGATCCATACATAACGCTGAGATGTTCAAGTTTACCAATACTAGATATTCAAGTACTAGATAAACAAGTTCATACATAATTGTCAATGACAACATAGATTCATACAAAATGATCAAGGTAAAGGAATCTCATCCAACGAACCCTTGTAGCTGGTTGTGGATGCATGTTAGCCTACCTCCTCGCCCAATGGATTATATAGTCGAATGAATGACTGTCTCCAGTAGGCAACACCTGCTCATACTCTTGCTCGGTGCAGAACTCCAGTATCCTGTTGGACAACCGACGCTTGTAATCCAGTGAGTTGCTGGCCGTGACTCCCTCTGCCTATGCATCGGTGCCCTAGGCACCCTCACCTCCATGGTCTCCTCTTTTTCCTCTATCAGGTCACCAAGATCTGGATCCATCCTGCTAGGGTTTGTAGCAGTCAGCTGGTGACTGAGGAAACCGGGTAGTGGATGGGACTGTTGGGAGGGGTGGGGTTTTATTAGCAAGGCTTGGGTGGTTGGGGTAACTTTTGTGTCGGGGGGATGGACCCCGGGCAGGAAACGGAATCCGGATCCTTTTCAAAAACATCGGGGCCAGCAACGGCCCTCAATCCGGCTCGCCCTGGCCGGATTCCCAGCGCAACCCGGCCAGCCGGCTGGTCCCAAGAAGCCAACCTCCAGCGACAAGTAATCATGGCTATAGTGCTCCCTCCTTTGCGTCGGCCCCGCCGGGCGCGACAGTCGTGCCGACCAAGCCACCGCCTAGGGCGGGCGGCGTCCCGGAGGCGCAACCCTGTAGCAAGGCGGTGTTGCTGTCCCATGACATCCGGCACGACGTGCCTGTTAAAACGTAGGATTGTGGGAATACAGCACACCTCCCGTATTGGGTGTGGCTCTTTATATTTATAGAAGTAAACATGGTGTACAATTACAATACAGGGTTGTACAAAAACTCTGTGTAAATATACATTCTAACACCCTCCCTCAATCTTAACTATGGCCTGAAGTACAAAGTAAGTTAAGATTGCGTCTACAACCTTCAAACTGAGGCTGTGGAAGTGGCTTCGTGAAGATGTCAGCAAGTTGATCTTTGGAAGGGATAAACTTGATATGAAGAAGTTTCTGTGCAACACGTTCCCTCACAAAATGATAGTCAACTTCGATGTGTTTGGTGCGAGCATGAAAAACTGGATTAGATGACAGATATGTCGCATCAATATTGTCACACCAAAGGACCGGTGTGTGATCTTGAGAGACTCCCAACTCTCTCAACAGAGATTGTATCCAAATGAGCTCAGCCGTGGAATTGGCAACCGTCTTGTACTCTGCTTCAGTGTTGCTCCGAGATACCATGGCCTGCTTGCGCGCACTCCAGGCGATCAAGTTGCGACCAAAGAAGACAACATAGCCCCCCATTGATCACCGGTCATCCAGGCTCCCAGCCCAATCTGAAGGAAATATGACCTAGAGGCAACAATAAATTTGTTATTTATATTTCCTTATATCATGATAAATGTTTATTATTCATGCTAGAATTGTATTAACCGGAAACTTAGTACATGTGTGAATACATAGACAAACAGAGTGTCCCTAGTATGCCTCTACTAGACTAGCTCGTTAATAAAAGATGGTTAAGTTTCCTGACCATAGACATGTGTTGTCATTTGATGAACGTGATCACATCATTAGGAGAATGATGTGATGGACAAGACCCATCCGTTAGCTTAGCATGGGTCGTTTAGTTTTATTGCTATTGCTTTCTTCATGACTTATACATGTTCCTCTGACTATGAGATTATGCAACTCCCGAATACCAGAGGAACACCTTGTGTGCTATCAAACATCACAACGTAACTGGGTGATTATAAAGATGCTCTACAGGTGTCTTCGATGGTGTTTGTTGAGTTGGCATAGATCAAGAT